GGAAGAGAGCAAGCTGCTTCGGGCGCAGGACCGGATCTGGCACATGCGCCATGTCAGTGTCCATGGACATCGGGCTGCACGAAACCCCAACAAACACCCCCCCCCCCCCGCCCTCTCGAGAGCGAATGGCGGGCAAAGGAAAAAAATAAAATAAAATAAGAAGGACACACACCTTTGAGCTGTTTAATGGCCACAACCTCCGGGCAACCGAGGCGATCGGAAATACCGGCCCCGACAGCACGCGCAGCATACACCGACGCCTGGGTGCCCGACCCAAGCGGCCGGTCATCGAGGGGAGCAAAGTCCGTGGCAATATTGACCATAATGCTGCCCGGAAGCGACAGCTCAACCATGGTGTTGAGCATGGTGGCATCTGAAGGGGGGGGGGATGGTGCATCAGTGTCGGTCGGCCTTTTCCGTACTTTCCCCGCCTGCCCACCCACGTGCCCCCCTCCGCTCTCCCAAACGACCGGGCTTCGAAGGCGCATCGCCGCCGGACGTACCCTCATTTAAAGTGTCCTCGGTCGACTGAAAAGCCACGGCCATTCGCAGCAACGGCGGCATCAAGACCGACGGAAGCGCCAGCAGGAAGGTCAGCACACGGCACACACACCGGCAGGGCGGGCGCCAGCGGAAAAAAAAAGTCGTACTTGCGGCTTTCGGCGAGCCCGACGGAGGAAGACGACCAAGAGTGCCCCCGTCAAGATGAGCAGCAGCAGCAACATGCCCAGACCCACTCCCAAGCCAATGGCTGGAGTCGCCGAAGAATCCAGAGTCAGCTGAAATCCCACACACTGCCCGAAGAGATCCCACGTACCAAGGGTTCGCCCGGAGGGGGCCGTTCCGTCAAGGCAGTCTGCTCGATCAGGGCCCGTGCAAAGGGTACAGTGCTTTGGGCAAGGCACGCAGGATGGCACGGCGGCTTCCGGGTCGGCGAAAAAGCCATCTCCGCATGTGGCGACGCAGCCCGAGTCCCGGTCCAGCAGCAAATGCCCCTGACACAGGGTGCAGATGGTTGCCTCGGAAGAGGCAGCCATCCGGCCATCCGCCGCCCCGGCATGGGCCTGCCTCGGCCCAGCCGCACAGCGCTGACAGCCAGCCGCACAGGCAGCACACATGTTGACAGGCTCCTGGATCGGAGCAAACCCGATCGCCGGGCATGCCACCACACATCCGCCCGAAAGCGGCATCAAATACAGGCCGGCGGGGCAGCTCGTGCAAAAGTCATCCTCTCCCATGCACGTCGCACAAGCCGAGGCACATGGCCGACAGTGGGCTTCCTGCCCGGCGGCAAACGTCCCTCCGGGGCATTCTGCCAGGCACTTGCCGTCCAGCAGGAGCAGGCCCTGCTCGCAGGCCACGCAGGCGCTTGTGCACTGGTCCGATGTCTCGGACGCCAGTGTGCACTCCCGGCAGCCGGGAGGGCAGCGATCGCATTGGCGCTTTCGCAGACAGGCAAACGCCCCTGCCGAGCATGCATCCACACAGCGATGGTCCTCGAGCAGCTGCTCCCCGGGACAGGCGGTGCATTGGTCATCTCCGGGTCCGGAGCAGGCACTGCATGCGGGGTGGCACGCCTGGCAGGTGTTGAGCCCCCCATCCAGGGGTGCATACCACCCGGCAGGGCAAACACTGACACACAAGCTGCCGGACAGGATATCGGGCACCGGACAGGAGGTGCACTCATCGCGCGCCGGGCCGACACACTTGGCGCATGTTTCATGGCAGGGGACGCACAGTTCATCATCCTCGGCCGTCCCCTCCGGGCACGAAGACAAACAGGCACCCTCCAGCAGTAGCGGCCATTCCGGCGCACATGTCAGGCACTGGTCGCGCGCCGGCCCGAAGCACGTCGCACAGGAGGCCGCACAGCCGGCGCACAGCCCGCCCTGGGCCAAGGTGCCCTCCGGGCAGGAATTGACACACATCGTTCCTGCCAGCACCTTGCCGCGCTCGCACTGAACACACTCCTCCGCCGACAGGGGGCAGCTTGCGCAGGAGGACCCGCACGGCGAGCACCCGCCGGCGGAGGTGTTATGGCCCACCGGACAGCCGGCCACACAGCGCATGGGTGTCTGCCCGGCCGGCAGGGCCTGCAGCCCTGCCGGACAGGCGCCCACGCACTCGGTGCTCCGCACCCCGGAGCATGCCTCGCACGACGGATGGCAGGGCAGGCAGCGCCCGGCCAGGGCCACATGCTGCCCGGCGCACG